ACCCAGGCATTTAAGGAGTTGACAAGTATTATTAAACCTGTTTTGCAAGAGAAGAAGCCGGTTCAAAGAGGGAAAAGCTGTCAAAGGTAATACATCAGTAAGCGGCTCAGGCCTGCTGCCTTGCACAACGAGGCTCTAACCTCATGGCCTCTCAAGGCCCAGAAGACTGAGGGGCCATCTCTGAACAGTTAGCAGTGTTTTCTCCTGTGCAACTTTAAAATGTGACATTTTTAAAGCTACTAATTTGTTTTAAATTCAAATATATTTCTTATGACTGGTTTTCTCTGTTTGGGTTTTCTCCCCCATTCAGAAATACACCGTTCTTAATTTTTAAATGGTAGCAATGGTGTATTAACTACCAGTACTGCTCCCTCTTTAGTTTCCTTTGAGCAATTTAATTTGTCTTTGGCGCCCTGCTAAACCTTAGGTTTGAATTGGGGCGAATCATAGCAATGCTTTCATCGAGGGGATGGTGCCTTGTGTAGATCCTTTCTTGAACCAGACCTTAATTTCATGATATTTCATAAGAGAGAGGAAAGCCTAATCCAAGGTAAATGAGGATTTATAATTCAGAAATGCTTCTGCCTATCGGCAACTGTAACTAACTTTCTAGTGCTTTCCACTCCAGTTCCTTTACCCTTAAAAAAATAAGCAGTAAACTGTCTTAGTCTGGGCACAAGACAAAGGCTTCAGTGCACATAAACTGTGCGGGTCTGTAATCCAGGGAGCAAGAAAAGCCTATACAAAGATACCTGATGTGTTCAAGTGGTCGCTCGATGCTGCGGGACAGCCTGGGGAACCATAACAAAGAAACAGAAACCCCTGGAATGGAAAGACTGGCATTGGGCAAGGCTCAGTTGGGCAGGTGGCACCCGCAAGAAGCCAGGGGGAGCCCAGGAAGAAGTGGTGGCAGGGATGCAGGGACGCCAGATGAATCTGAAGTAGTAATCAGTGGCCTCCCATAATGCACAGATATATTCTTGTTGCACATACCTCTCTGTTGAAGTATATAAAGTAAAACATGAACTTTTGCTCCCTCTCTCCACCCTTTTCATGGATGCTTGTCATTAACATTTCATTTTCTGCGCATTTACATATCCTGTAAGAACATGTACATACATCTTTTTATTTTAAAAAATCGTGAGTTGGGGAGGTCCCCTCTACTTGCTAGATGCTGCCCTGATTCATGAATCGCTTAATAAAGCCAATTTGATCTTAAAAAAACAAACATGAATCAGATCATACTAACCTCGTGCTCCGACAGGTTTTTGTTTGTTTGTTTTCACTCATGTATTACTTGCATCAGGGTTAGGTCTTACTACATTGTCAGGAAGTTGATTTTGTCCTGTAGAGGTATACTGGAAAATACCAATAGAACATTTGTTGAGGGGTGCCGGGGTGGCTCCGTCGATTGAGCTTCCGACTTCAGCTCAGGTCATGATCTCGCGGTTCATGAGTTCGAGCCCCGTGTCGGGCTTGGTGCTGACAGCTCGGATTCTGTGTCTCCTTTTCTCTCTGCCCATCCCCCGCTTGTGCTCTGTCTCTCAAAAATAAATAAATCTAAAAAAGATTTTTTTTTTAAATAGAACATTTGTTGAATGAATGCATGAATGAAGGAATGATACTATGAGTTCTAGTTACAGTTCCTGCTTAGAGGACAGGAGTGGCTGCTAATATTGGGAATGCAGTGGGCGAGGTCTGGTAGAACATGAAATTGTCATTGCCAGACAATTGAACAACCCTGCCGGTCTCCTTCCCTTTCATCAACACCTCCACGTCCGCAGTTCAGAAGTAAGAATGGATGCTACACAGGGGAGACAGAAAAGAGATGTAGGGGAGGAAAAATAGTTTTCCCTCTACCCTTCTCAGTTCTTGGCTGAGACCCCAGGAATAAAAGATTAACAGGAGAAAAACAAGTTTACTGGCCTGCATCCCCCAGGTATACATGGGAAATACCCAGAGGAAAATGAGTAACTCCCCAAGGCGATTAGGAATTCAAGATTCTTAATAGGAAAGGGGGAGGAAGGAAGGAGGCTTCTTAGGGGGAGAGCAAATGGCTTAGGAAAAACGAACTAGCCCTCAGTAGAACAAATAGATAAGACAACATTTGTGACAACGTTTATCTGGGTGTGATGTTGACTTCTAGCCTCCTCTCCTGTGACAGGAGTCCATCCTTGCTGGTGGATGAAACTCCTGGGGAGGGGATTCATGGCCATGGAGTCCTTTCGGGGGACTGGTCTGTAGGCAGATAAGGGCAGTTCAGAGAAAGCCTCTCCCTCCATTTGCTACTTTTCACGTGCCTACCGCTCAACATAATCAATATACCGAAGTGGCGTATTTGGGCAGCATGTCTTGTCCCCCAGTCGTATTTTGGGGTGGCATTTCCTGCCACCCTTCAGAGACAAGGGAAAACTCTTTTAAAAATTCACTAAGTCAAATATTTTATCAGCCCCATGCTAAGTGGCGAGCCCTCCGGATAAAATGGAGAACATGACAGACTTGGTCCTTGTCCTCACACAGGGAGAGTCCACAGTTAAAGGAAGAAAGAAAGAAGAGTAGGGCATAGATGCAGAAAGAGAAGGGTAGGGTTCCAAAGGAGTGAGAAATTTCAGTGATGGCTAAATTAGTACAGTGCTTGTGTTAATATAAGTTGTTTAGAAAGGAGTTTAAATCCCAGCCATCTGCTCTCACGTCAAACACATACACACTGTACCCCCGATTTCACTCCTCCGTCCCATATATATACATCCCAATAATCATCTGCTGATATATTTTTCATGATTTCCCACAGTCAATAATAAAAAAATATACCTGATTCAAACCAGTGAATTGTGACCCAGCTCTAACTATGAATATAGTGGAAATCATAAGTTTCTTTACCGACAGTCTTACTAATTAAGTTATTTGCCTGTTTTTAGCCACATTGGATATTTTTTTTCTTTTTGAGGTTGTTATGGATGTTGTTTGTAGCAGCATCAATAAGCCAAGAATTCACATACTCAGTCGCACAGATTACTCATCATTGCCTGTTCATAACAGAATCCTAAAATGTTTAAGATTTCTGATGCAAATCAAAATCTCATCATCACTTGTCATTGCTAAATTAAATGACAGGATAATAACATTACATTAAAACCATTTTTCTCTTGATTGAGTACCTTTTTCAGAAGTGAACCCTGTAGATGGATTTTTTTCACCAGTACTATAAATGCATTTAGAATAGGAGATAAAAATAGAATTGAAAGGGGAGGAGTGGAATAGAATGTTTTCAAATTATTGATGAGTCTCTTTTGAATCTCAAATAACCATATTTGACACTGCACTGCTTGGGAATGGAGTCATTTAGCCCAGTTTATTGAGATTTTTTAGAACCACATAAAGGAGGTGCACAGGTTGAACTTGGTCGTTCTCGACACAGTCACGTGTTCTTGGCATTAGCCATCAGTCATTCCATTGCAAACAGGCTGTTAGTGACCTGTAGGGATTGGCATTGTTCTGTTACTCTATAATTAGGAATGAGAACTGGTTTGAGAAAGATCACAGCCTAGGTGGGAAATGAATATAAATTGCAAATCTGCCAGGACAGAGTAGGTTCTCAATTGACTTGCTGTCGTGAACTGCTCTCTTGGCCTTTCTTTCCCATCGAAAGCTAATTAACCTTTTCGGTCACACCTGCCATCCTCCCATCTGGTCCGTCTAGCCCACCTCTCTGTGGCCACCCGGTCCTCATGCCACTGGTGCCCATCTTCTTCACTTGCCCTGATACCAAGGGCTCTTTCCATTCTCAAGTCTTCTGTCCTTCAAAGATTTGTTTCTTCACATTTTCCACTTTGATGTTAACGAAAATCATATCCTGGAGAAAACCTTTTACCCTGACTTTTTGTCTCCTTTAGTACTACCCTCATTAGGCAGTAACAGGTCAGTAAAAAAAATCCTCAGCTCTTGGAGAAGCCCCTAAAAATGCAGACGGAAACAAGATTGGCTAGGAGTTGACACTAGTTGAATCTGGGTGATGAGTGCATGGGGGTAGAGAAGTTAATATACTGTTTTCTCTAGTTTTGTATGTTTGAAATTTCCTATAGTAAAAATTTTAAACTAGGTTCTTTAGACTCCGTTTTTTGTTTGTTTTTTTTAATAGATGCTATTTTTGAGTCAGTACATGAAATGGGTGGTAAACAGGAGGGACTGGGGCTAACACCTGATCCTGTCACTGAAATGCCCCACTCCCACCCCACGTGCAAGGAAACAAGTGTGATTCCTTAGTGCCTAGAATTGAAACTTCCTCCTTCTCCGTAGGTCCTGAACATGGGTACCAGAATCCTGCTACACTTCCTACCTCTTGTTAAAGTGACCAGATCAATCTGTACAGAAACACACATTAACTTGGTCTCATTTATCAAGTCCCATGGTGAATTAAGGTCTGTGCTGGGGGCACGGAGGAGCAGGAATCTGAAGTTACCTCCCTCCAAAAGCTCCCCATCATGGAAAACAAAGGCACCTACGAACCCCCCTGATGCAGTACAGACACTAGGAACTGTCATCTGAAGTGAAGCTTCAGTAGCGTGGCTGTGGGGCTGTAGGGAAGTAAAGAATCCCATCAGCAGATGCGTTCTAGAAGGTGATGCCAACCACTGAGTGCTATCGCTTTTTTATGTTTGTTTATTTTTGAGAGAGAAAGACAGAGGGAGGGCAAGCCAGGGGAGGGGCAGGGAGAGAGGGAGACAGAGGATCCGAAGCGGGCTCTGCGCTGACAGCAGAGAACCCAGTGTGGGTCTTGAACTCATGAACCATGAGATCATGACGTGAGCTGAAGTCAGACGCCGAACCGACTGAGCCACCCAGGCGCCCTGAATGTTACCTTAAAGGAAAAGATCATCTCTGCTTCTGATTGCTAAGACTAGAGCTCCTTCAGAGAACCTTCCTTCTCTCTTCTGAAGAACTTAAAGTGATTGCAGTTACCAATGTGCCTTTTTTTTCCTTCTCTTTTTAAATTATGATAGCCTTACTTCTCGTTTGCCCAAAACTGGTGAAACCATTCATGGACATAAGTTTTTTATTGGCTTTGGAGGGAAAGGTGCCAACCAGTGTGTCCAAGCTGCTAGGCTCGGAGCAAAGACATCCATGGTATGCAAGGTAAGTGTAGACTACAGTGGAGAGGCTCCTAGAGGCAAGAGTCTGTTTTTAAGATTTGAGTTGTTTTTATTTTTTAACCGTTTGAAAGTGAACAATTCAGTGCCATTTGGTACATTCCCAGTGTTGTTGGACAACCACTATTCTCTTTAGTTCCAGAACAATTCTATCATTCCAAAGTAAAGTTCCTTACCATTAAGCAGTTTCTCCCCATTCCCCCACCCCCACCCCACTCCCACCCCCAGACCCTCACAACCACCATCTGTCTCTGTGGATTTATCTATTTGGATATTTCCTAGAAATGGAATCCTAGGATATGCAACATTTTGTGTCTGGCTTATTTCACCTAACGTAATATTTTCAAAGTCCATCTACCTTATAGCATGTACTGTTTTTTTTTCCTTTTGTGGCGGAATAATATCCCATTGTACATACCATTATCTGTCTATCCATTTGTCTGTTGATGGACACTTGAGCTGTTTCCACCTCTTGACTATTGTGAATATGCTGCTGGAAACATGCATTTACATGTACTGGCTTTTGAGTATCTGGTTTGTTCTTTTTTTTTTTTTTTTTTTTTTTTTGGTAGTTCCTTGTTAAAGATTTAAATAGGAGAGGATAATCTTCCTTGTCCTTTAGATTGCTTTCTACCTCAGTGTGTCCTCTGGCAAGTAGCAGTCCTCAAATAACTTAATTATGCACGTCTTTCGCTTGCTGGGCTTCCAAGTGAAGGATGAGAAGTGAGAGGAGTTCGCCTGCCCCACTGAGTTTCTGTATGCCAGCTTCTGAACGACAGAAGTTAATCCTGCTTTTAGCAGTTTTCGCTGCAACACAGCTCTTGGAAAGTCGGTGTAATAACTTGTGATTCACTCGTGTAGCTCTTTAGTTATTTCTTCTAATGCTAGCCCTTGGATCAGAAAGGAATCTGGGCTTTACTGAACTACCCATAACTAATTTTTAGGCATAATTCTTTTTGCAGGAATATAAGGAAATGATATGTAAAATATCCCCTATTTCTATCCATCTGTCTGAAATTATTTGAAAATAAGACAAAATTGGCTGCCAGAGGTTCAATGTTTGCATGTTTAATGAAATTTTAAGGTGCTTGCATCACTGGTGTAACAAAAAAGATAATTTACTTTAGAAAAGCTAGCCTCGGTCTACACGGTAAAAGATAAGAGGAATCTGAGAAATTTAAAAGAATGAGCCCTCTCCTGTAGGCTGGGTCATTTTTACCAAAATGTCTCTGAAATGTCACTTCCCAGTGCACACAGCACTCTTCTCTCCATGGGAGTCTTTAAATGATGTACAAACGATAAGCAATTGTCATTTCATCTGCTAATGAATTGCAGTTTTATTTCTAATTTATGATTAACACGATATAATTCTCATCTGGCTGTTTGGTCAAAAACATCACATGAAGCGCAAGATTCAAAGTAAGAAACCCTCGTTTGCTAAGGTTGAACTCTTGATAGATTTTAAGTGTCAATCATCCATGAATTATTGATGACCCATTACATGCTAGGAATTGTGCGGCGAGGAGAGGGAGCTGTAGGCCTGACCTCTCCTGTACTTGATTAGAAATGAAGGGTTTGGGGAGTCATCAGATGGTGCTGACTTAACGGGGGCTTGGGAACTGGAAAGAGGACAATATTTCCTGGCTGGGAAAACGTGGACAGAGAATGGGTATGGGAAGCAAAGTACCAAAAATGGCTGCTCTGGGAAGAGAGGAGTTCCCTAGAGCGGAGCCGTAAAAGGAGAGATTAGAGAACCCCTCTTGGAAGCTTCATAAATGCTATTCATGTAGCCATGAAAGTCAAAATTGGATGTCCCCTGGGATCTCATCCAACTCGAAGATTGAGATTGGTGTTATTTTGGGTCTGTTGAATTTGAGGCAAAGAGAAACGCAAAATAGAAATATTTGAGTTGTGGAAGTGAACTTGGGAAGTGAATCATGCAACCATCAGGAGTGGATGTGAGAGGAATAGACAGCAGAGGGCTGTATTTGGGGAAATGTTACAGTTAGGAGTTTGATAAAGCAGTGGTGCTGTTTTATTCCAGTCCGTGTATGACAGTTTGTGTTAACACCTGTGCAGTTTGGAAAGTGCTTTATATCTACTGTGCCCCTGATGCAGTCATCTGCTGTCCAGCCCCGTGCAAGGCTTCAGCATGGGTATCTGTACAGAGAGGATAAGAAAGCATGGCTTCAGCCAAAACCCATACGGGTGCCTTTGCTTAGATAACCTGGAACCTTTAGACACATATTTCTTTAGCTTAATGTTCTTAGACTTCTTTATATATCTGTAGATGTCTATAGATATATGTAGATAGATAGGTGATGTATTTCATATAGGTATAGATATGGATATAGATATAGACATTTTTTTAAGTAGATTTCATGCCCAGCGTGGAGCCCAACGTGGGGCTTGAACTCACAACTCTGAGATCAAGACCTGAGCTGAGACCAAGAGTCAGACACTTAACTGACTTTGCAGTATTCTTAGACCTGTTAAAGAGAAAAATATCTTAGGGGTGCCTGGGTGGCTCAGTTGGTTGGGCATCCAACTTCAACTCAGGTCATGATCTCACAGCTTGGGGGTTTGAGCCCTTCCTCAAGCTCTGTGCTGACAGCTCAGAGCCTGAAGCCTGCTTTGGTCTCTGTGTCTCCATCTCTCTCTCTGCCCCTCCCCTGCTCGTGCTCTTTCTCTTAAAAATAAACAAACATTAAAAAAAATTTTTTTTAAGAAAAATTGGTGCGCCTGGGTGGCTCAGTCGGTTAAGTGTCCAACTTCAGCTCAGGTCATAATCTCACAGTTCGTGAATTCGAGCCCCACATCAGGCTCTGTGCTGACAGCTCAGAGCCTGGAGCCTGCTTCAGATTCTGTGCCTCCCTGTCTCTGTGCCCCTTCCCCGCTCACGCTATGTCTGTCTGTCTGTCTCTCTCTCTCTCTCTCTCTCTCTCTCAAAAATAAACATTAAAAAAAATTTTTTAAGAAAAATATCTTTTATAGTAGAAGGTATCATTATCCATTAATCTTGATATTTTTTTCCATTGGTGAAGTATTTTCTTATTAAGTAAATTAGCCAACCTGCTGTATAGCAGTTTTTTAAAGATGACGACTTTCAAGTGGAAACCAAAATCATGACATTACTCCAGATAAAAATGAACAGATGGAGCAAAAGAAAAACAGGTAGAAAATTTCCTACAGTTTTCTTAGCGACATTAACTTACCTACTACTACCCTGCAACAAACTAAAATTCAAGCTCTGGTGAAGTAAGACTGATGGCACATGCAAAACATCTTCTTTTGAGCTTAGGGGAATTATTTGCCAAGATACTGTGATGAGGACTATTAAGCAAGAGTCCGTCGATATGTATCCAGGGCAACGTGTAATAATGAAACACTTCAAGTTGTTAAGAGTTGTACAGTCAGTACTCAACTGAGTCGTGGGCCCACGGCCACAGTCAAAGGATAACTGGAAATGATATTTTCAGATTAAAAATCTAGGCAGATATCATAGAAAACGAAAGTCTTCTTGGCAGGGCAAAGAGTCTGTTAGAATACCTTTCATAATACCTGATTTTTGTGTTTCCTCTTCCACCATTCCATTGAAGATAAATGTTGGAGGAGGAAGTTGTTTCTAGATATCCAAAACTGGCTGCTAGGGAGGACCTTGGGAGAATAAAGAGTTCAAGTTGTGGTTGCCTGGAATGAGCCCAAAGACCCTGCTTCTTGTGCGGTGGAAAGGAACCCTGAGCAGGCAAGGACCCAAATAACCCCAATCTCAAATCAGCCAACTGGGAGGACCCTCAAGGACCCTGGTCTTGCTTTCCTCAAACATGACATTATCAAAACTCACTAGGTCCATCTGGCTGGCTCATTTGGTAGAGCATGTGACTCTTGATCTTGGTGTCATGACTTCAAGCCCCACATTGGGCATAAAGCTTACTTAAAAAAAAAAAAAAGACAGGGCACCTGGGTAGCTCAGTCAGTTGAGCACTGACTTCAGTTCAGGTCATGATCTCACAGTTTGTGAGTTCAAGCCCCACATCCGGCTCTGTGCTGACAGCTCAGAGCCTACAGCCTACTTCAGATCCTGTGTCTCCCTCTCTCTCTGCCCCTCCCCAACTCACGCTCTCTCTCTCTCCCTCAAAAAGAAAATAAATATTAAAAAAAATTTAATGAAAATAAAAAGGTAAAAGAAAAAAAAAACTAATAAAAACAGCTGTGTGTTTTCCCTGAGGAATGGGCAGATATTAAGCTCTGTGACAGAAGCAGTATATTAGAGCCACGCATTCAAGGTCTGACCCTCAGGCATTCTGCAAACTGTCAGTGGTCTGGACATTACAGAAATTGAGAATAAGCAATTAGAAATATTTATAGCAATTTTACAGAGGAATTTTATAGCTGTTGAATATAATAGTAATAATAAATTAAGCCTTGTATTTTGTAGGATTTTTTTCTGTTTTTATTTGTTATATTTTATGGAATTATTAGTCCACAATGGATTGAAAATGAAAAAAGAAAAAAAAAACTGAGCCTTCACTACAGATGGTTTGAAAAGCAGTATATTAGAGTACTCATCATCTTAACCAAAAAGGTGCCTTGTCAGTTAGATTACTGTGGGACAGTCAACTGTGCAGTAAGATTTAGTTTTCAAAGATCAAAAATTAGTCACCATCCCTTTCCAAGTAATCCCATTCCAGGAATGAAGTGAAATTTATCCTTTCCTGAGCTCTGCTGTAGGACAACTGGCTAGAACTAATGGTTATATTGATTGGAATGCTTGGCCACATGTCCAAACACAGGGTACCCTATGACCCTAACCAAATAATGTGTGTCTCGTATAGGAAGAATGGAAGAAATAATTGGGTTACCACCAACTCACCTCCACTCTTGGATAAGCAGGCATCGCAATACTGATTGTAGCATTAATTTTGTATGTTAAGGGCCATTATGAAGCTAAACACCCATTTAGATAGGATTTAAACCACCAGCTAGCTTAAACAAGTGGAATCGTATATATTCTTCTTTCCTCTTTTAGGCAAAGCCACAAGTAACAAGTTAAAAAAAAATAATATTCTGAGGGACCTATTCAAAAAAGCAACTGCCAGGTTTTGTCATAGGACAACAAATGCATGTTAGTATCCCTAACCTGCTGTTCATTAGGACTTTTGGGACTGCAATGTCACAGAATGTCTTGAGTCACAAATATTAAATTGTGTTCAACTTGAGTATTAATTATGTTTTTGTGCACTCTACCTTTGAAAGTTGGCAATCTGTTTTAATATATGTGATAAATTTCTTAGCAGAATATTCAACTTCATGTGACCTTGAGTACGGTATCTTGGTCCTCTAGGTTTTATTTTCCTCAACTATGTGTTGATGGATAGAATTACTAGATGTTTTCTACCATTCAAGGATTCCAAGAAGCCCATTTCTCAGCCATTTTGAAACGTGGATGTTTGTTTGTTATAAATGTAGTGCTAACTGAAGTTACCTTCCTCAGCATTAGGTCCCGGTTCTAAACTATGGAAGCCATGACTGGCTCTCCCTCAATGCAGAGAGCCTTCTTGGTGGTAAGAGTGAAGGCAGTATCTCAGTAGCCTTAGCTGGAGGAAATGTTCTTGCTCCTGATACACCCAGCCCTTTTGTTTTCCGTGATTCTAATTTACATCTCCCTATAACTGCATTATCCAAGATGGTAGCCACTAGCCACGTGCAGCTAGATTTAAATGTAATTAAAATAAAAGTGTAAATTGAGTTGCTCAATCATACTGGCTGCATTTCAAGTGCCTGTTTTGGGCAGCACAGTTAGAGAACGTTTCATCCTTGCAGAAAGTTGTATTCAGCTGCATTGCTCTACAGTCTTCAGGGTAGAGCTAAGCCTGGGATTTCCTGAAGAGCCTCTCGGGTTCTAGGAGTTGCCTTAGCATAAGTGCAAGTAGTTGTCCATAATTGCCAATGACCTGGCTTCTTTCACCTGGAACAGGCTCCCTCAGACTATGGTTTTCCCAGAATCCTTCTACCCAAAAGTGGTTTTCCCAGAACCCTTTTACCTGAAAGTATTTCACTGCTACTATCTGAAAGGATAGTGTAGGAGTGTAGGAGTGCCTTCAAGAGGGCTGTTTAGGAGCAAAACCTTCTATAGACCCTTTTGGCAGCCACTGCTAGGAGAGTCTGAGTGCCTGTGGTCACATCCCTTTAAGAATGATAAGATAGGGGCGCCTGGGTGGCTCAGTTGGCTAAGCATCTGACTTTGGCTCAGGTCATGATCTTGCAGTTCGTGAGTTTGAGCCTCCCCCACTGTCAGCCTGCGCTCACAGCTCAGAGCCTAGAGCCTGCTTCGGATTCTGTGTCTTCCTCTCTCTCTCTACCCCTCCCCTGCTCGCTCTCTCTCTCTCTCTCTCTCTCTCAAAAATAAACAAACATTAAAAAAATTTTTAAGGGGCGCCTGGGTGGCGCAGTCGGTTAAGCGTCCGACTTCAGCCAGGTCACGATCTCGCGGTCCGTGGGTTCGAGCCCCGCGTCAGGCTCTGGGCTGATGGCTCAGAGCCTGGAGCCTATTTCCGATTCTGTGTCTCCCTCTCTCTCTGCCCCTCCCCCATTCATGCTCTGTCTCTCTCTGTCCCAAAAATAAATACACGTTGAAAAAAAAAATTTTTTTTTTTAAATTTTTTTAAGAATGATAAAATAGGCCCAAGAAAATAAACAGGCAACTAAGATGACCAAATACTTATGAACACATTTCACGTACAGGGCTTGAGTCTTGCTAAGCTAGAGTCTCCAAGAAGCTTTAGGAAGGCTAGACCTTTAGGGAGATTGTTTAGGCAAACAACATAAGATGATATTCAATTAAATGTTTAATGGTATCTATTAGGAATGCTCTAGGAGTTTAGGAAATGAGAGCATTAAGAAGGGGCTAGAATAGGGAAGGTAGGCTTTAAGTTGTGCTTGAAAAACAGGTAAGGTTTGATTAGGTGGAGAGAGGAAAGGACTTCCAAGTTCTCAGGAGGCAAGGAAATAGACACGACTGAATTGTATTCACCTTGTGTTTTAACACAAATGATCATACCAAGTTAACAGTGCTTTTCTACTGACCACTCTGTAGAACAGAGAAATCCAACTACTTTTGCCAAATAAGAGTGTTAGAAAGAGAAGCCAGCAAAGCAAGGGGGCGCGAGCCTAGCCACGTGAAAATGAGACCAGAGTCAGCAAACACAAGCGCAGCAATCTTTGTAGCTTTACGATACCTTGATCCCAGTGTTGGACCCTGATGGGCCCCTCGCCCCCAGCAGATTCTGTAGGCGACACTCCTCCGTGTTCCCACTTAGCGGACTTCCCACCCCAGCGCCAGGCAGGACTGTGCTCTCCCTTTTCATTTCTTCCACGCAAAGCTTTACGCACGCTGTCCCAGCGGGCCGAGGCTGGAGTCATTGCAATCACCCGGTGCACCTGCCTCGGTCTCACCTGCACAGGGCCTGGTTCAATTGATGTGGCCTGTAACCCGAGCACCCGGATGTCTGTAAACTCCTCGGGAGCTACCGATGCACAGCGAAGGCTGAGAACTATCGGTTTCCTACTTGCCAGAGAGAACTCACCCCGTCCCACCCTACCTAGCTCAGGTGGAACAATTTGCAGCAAAATATAAAGAATTTTAATTAGCTCGATAATGGCAGAAACTGAAATTCGATTCCAAGTTTCCTGACTTCCACACGCACTATTTTGCTTCACAGCCAAGATACTTACACGTCAAGTTCTCTTGCCAGGTTGATAAGCAAGATGTGACCGGGAAAACAGGGAAGACTCCAGAGACACCTGTGAAGGTTCCTTTATGACATTATTTCATGTCGTTTTTATTTCAAGGACCTTCCCTTTGCATCATTCACTGTGATTTTCAAGGTAGCTTCACTCAGCTGTCAGTGGTAGTCATTGCAGGACACCTGCTTGGGTTCTGTTCCTGTGACTCCTGGTTATCAGTGTCCAGAGACTGGGGAAGAGGCTTACATTCGAGTCAGAAGTAAGCACAGGGGATGGGAAAGTGCTCACTTCGCTCCACCTTTTTTTAAAGGAAATCCAGCAGAATAAATGATTGTGTAAGAGGTTCGAGGATGGGGAAATCAGGAATATGGCATTCTTTTAGTATTACGTAGCACAAGGCATCTGTGTGACTCTGTAATGCAGAAAGAAAGGACTCAGATCTCTGTTGCCTTTTTGTCTACATTTCGATGTAATATGTATGTCTAAGACACAGACATCCTCCCAGGTGGCTCTGTTATTCTTGTGGAAGCAACAGGGATACATGGTTACATTAAACAGCATTAGTTACACCATTAATGGAGATGTTACGTTTTTATTATAATAATAGTAATACAGTCTTATTTTTTAAATACTTTAATGCACCCACAGGCTTGCTTCCATGATCAAGTGCTCTTCTGTTTGAAAATAGGGAGCAACAGGAAGAATTGGAAGCATCAGGGAGAACCAGATGGACAGGAAAGTAGTTTATAAGATTGAATCCAAGAAGCAGGAGCCCTGCCCCTCCCCGCAAGGGAAGCCGCCCTGGTAGCAGCAGTAACTGCCATGGTGATGATGAGGATGACGATGACAATGATAATGACAGTGATAGCACCAAGCCATTATTTAATCCTTTACGGTTTTAAGCACACTTCATGCATGTTATTTTATCCTCACAGGTGCTGTGACTTTCCAGATAAGGAAACTGAGGCCAAGAGGCAGTTAAAAGCAACCTTCCCAGGGGCGCTTCGGTGGCTAAGTCAGTTGAGCGTCCAACTTTGGCTCAGGTCATGGTCTCAATGATTCGTGAGCTCGAGTCCTGCATGGGGCTCTCTGCTGTCAGCACACAGCCCACTTTGGATCCTCTGTCCCCTCCATCCTCTCGCTGCCCCAACCCAGCTCACACTCTCTCTGTTTCTCGTTTCTCTCTCTCTCTCTCTCTCTCTCTCTCTCTCTCTGTCTCTCTCTCTCAAAAACAAACATTTTTTTAAAAAATGTGGCTTGCCCAAAACCACACAGGAGGTGTGAGGGCACTTCTGACTTCCATGACACAAGTGCAAAGGTCGTCTTCCTGTTCTCAGGCTTCTTATCACTCCTTTTACTTTGTAATGTATCTCCACAACCCAGATGCAAAGTTAACGGGGCTAAGGTTGACTTCTGTAAATCCTCAGCAGTGCTGTTACTTTTCCATTATTTTTTAGTTACGAGATTTTTATTTTTGTCATGGGAATATCGAAGAAGGCAAAAGCAAAGTATGTTGTTTCACCTCTCACGTAGAGCTTAGAACACCAGCCAACAGGTTTGCCAGGAAGTCACTATTGGAACAAATCTGGAACCATAACCGTCAGCAAGGGACGCAGCCCATCAGGTGATTCCCCAAGCAGAAGATGACAGCTACTGCAGCCACTAAAATACCACTGCGGCAAGTCTGAGCAGGCCGTCCCTTCCTCATTATGCCTCGGATGCGCCTGATATTCCACTTGGTGTGACGGGTGTCTCTGTACGCCTTCTTTTCCCTGCAGTATTATCAGTTTCTTGAAGGCAAAGCCAAATGTTTTGGGGTTGCCTCCTCCTCTCCAACAATTCTCCCTAATCCCTGCACTTCCAAATGTTTACATCATCACCACCATTTATCAGACATGCCTTTGGTGTTCACCTTAAACAGATTTTGCCTGTATTAAACTGATAGGAAAGGGGAGAAAGAAGTTTCTTTGCTCTAATTTGTACCGGGCCCCACATGCTGAGGAATGGCCTTCCTTTAATCCCTACAATATTCTTGTAGTGATGCTTTCCCCAACTATATCACATCTTTTTTTTTAATGTTTATTTATCTTTAGAGACAGAGAGCAGGGAGGAGCAGAGACAGAGGGAGAGAGAGAATCCCAAGCAGGCTCCGCACGGTCAACACAGGGCCTGACGCAGGGCTCGATCCCATGAACTGTGAGATCATGACCTGAGCTGAAATCAAGAGTTAGATGCTTAACCGACTGAGCCACCCAGGCGTCCCTCCCAACTATATCACATCTTGATTGCCCATGGGAGAGAGTTAAATAATGTTTAAAAACAGATGAGAAAACAGTTTGTTTCTGGTATGAATCTTTGACCTAAGAAATGGGATGCTTTGGTAGATAAATGGCCAGCCTCCCACCAAGAAAACCTTTGACAAATGACCTCCCTCCACTGGGCACTCTCCCCCACAGCAGTGCTTTATAGTGGACACTCTTCTTTGTAGAGACAGAAATGCTGCTCATAAGAAATTATTATATATTATTTGAGATTATTGCCTACTCAGCATTTCTACCAGAAAAGCACAGGGAAAAGTGTTCTTTGAGAAAGAAGCTCTCGAAGGAGGCATTTAAATTGGGTCAGCAAACTACCGCCCATGGAGCAAATCTTGCCTACCATGTGTTTTTATAAAGTTTTACTGGAACACAGCTACATCCATTTGTTTACAGATTTTCTTCGGCTGCTTTCACACTGCAACAGCAGAGCTGAATCGCTGCAAAAGAGACCGTCTGGACCAACAGTGTCCGAACTATTACCCATCTGGCCTTTTATGGAAAAAAAAATTTTCCAACCCCTGATCTAGACCATCCAAAATCTTACCAGGAAATTGTATCTTCACTCATTGAGGAACTTGACCCAAGTAACCTCCTAGGTTTCTTTCTATCGATATATCCAGAGGGGAACAATTTTCTGTGGAAAGGCAGAACTCACCAGGAGTGGCTGAGACCCAGACAGATACATGATCCAATGACACGGTGCTCACCTGCAGGACAAAAAAGTAGTTCCGGAGTGAAGCCTAAAAGCCTACGGGTGCCAAGAAGGTAACATAAATTGCAATAGGCCTGGTAGGGACTGTGGTCAACTAGACAGCATGGACACACCTTTGGGGCATATCCAGCTGATTTCCCTTGCAGGAATGTGGGCCCAGCGTTACCAGAACATCTGAATTTTCAGGACCTCCTGGAAACTTGTTTTTGTGAAGCCTCCTGATACTTAAATGGTGACAACTGATTAAAATTTAAAATACAATAGGAGAAAACAACTATAACACTGTATGTCAACTATACTGGAATTAAAATCATAAAAATAGGAGGGCATCCACACAAAAACCTGCACATGAATATTCACAGGAGCCTAAATTTATAATTACCAAAATTTGGAAGCAACCCAAGATGTCCTTCGGTGGGTGAATGGATAAAGTGCAGAACGTCCATACCATGGAATATTTTTCAGCACTAAAAAGAAATGAGTGATCAAGCCATAAAAAAGACATGCAGGAAACTCAGATATATTTACTAAGTGAAAGAAGCCCGTCTTAAAAGGTTACATATTATATGATTCCAATGATACGGCATTCTGGAACAGACAAAATTATGGAGACAGTAGAAAGATCAGTGGTTGCCAAGGACTTGGAGGGAGAGAGGGATGAATAGGCAGAGCACGAAAGGTTTTCAGGGCAGTGAATCCATCCGGATAAGATTGTAATGGTGGATAAGTGTCTATACATTTGTCAGAACCCATAGAATGTACAACACCAGAGCGAACCCTAATGTAAACTATGGAGTTTGGGTGATAATGATGTGCCAACATAGGATCAATGGTTGTAACAAATCTGCCACCCTAATTATGTTGCCTATGAATGGAAGAGGAGTGAGTGTCCAAGGAAAAACTGAAGGATCACTAGCAGAATGCATGCTGGGACTCAAGAACGACAGACTTTCACTATACCAAGTTACCCAAGTTAGCGACAGCTTTTTAAATTCCCCCTTCTCTGCCCCCATCCCGTGTCAAAGAAGACTCTAAAACACCAGGCAAGTCATGACAAAGATGCCCTCATTTATAGTGAAGTACAAACAACTGAGATTCTTCATAAATATTGAGGGCCGTTGATGGTGGACAGCACAGTGGTGATTTCCACAGGAACAGATCAAAATGAGAGCAGAGTGATTGAACTTGGGACAGTCATTTAATGCTTCACGTTTTAGGTTGGATGCAAGTGGAACATTAATATATAACAATTATTTGGGCTGAAATCAAGTCTAGCATCTTACATTAAGAAGATTAATTAGCTAATGTTTATAAAGTACTGTGCAGATATGCCCTTTTAAAATGCTAAGTATTCTAAAAACTACATTGTAGCATTTTACTAAACGTAAAAGATCTAACATTCATCATTTCTTTGGTACAGGTTGGCAAAGATTCTTTTGGCAACGATTATATAGAAAACTTAAAACAGAATGATATTTCTACAGGTAAAATTTCATCTTTTTTAAAGTTAGTTTTTATGACTTTCCTCTGGGATCTGGTTACAAGAAAAGTTGAATATAGAATAGAATTATTAGATCCTCCTCTGGTGGCCAGAGAATTTTTATGCACAGCTCTGTCTCATCTTGCTTAAATGTCGTTTGGTTAATTCTTTCATGTACATTCCTCCAGACGGGAATAAAATGATAGGAGATTACAAACCTTCATCTCATGGAAATGTTTCTAAAGCAGGTGACAAGAGAAAACAGGTGCTACGTTCACAAAAGATATTTTGAGAAAGGTCATTGAATGTCATGGCTGGAAATGATCTTAGAAACCGCTGAAGCCGATACCATTGTTGCACAAAAGAGAAACGAAGGCCAGATCAGTTCTCAATTTGTCCAAGAGCACACAGCTAGTTGGAGCTAGAGCCAGGAGTAGAATGCAGGTCTTTGGCTCCATTTCAAGGCTTTTTGCCGCTGCCAGAGGCTGCCTGATCAACATTTCCATTTACGCTCCAGACCATAATGCTTCATGAGACACAAAGTTTATGAAGAAACACAAACAAGTGCATTGCATAGGTTTGACTTTAATCTCTCCTCTGAAGCCTATCATTTCTTTCACTGAAGAAAAAAAAATGGTGGTCTAGAAAAATGCATGTGGATATGCTATGAGTAATTTGGGTGATTTGGCAGTGGGGGGGGGGGTCTGCTGGGTTGTTACTAATGCAGAACGAAGGTGCGACAAAGTAAAGACTTCTGTCTTCCTTGTTGTATAGGTGATGGGTATAAATTAGCAGCAATTAGTTATTTCTTTTATCATCCCAGATGGCTAAAGGTTAAAAAGCTTTTCCAGCGATTAGTGGTGCACTGAAATCGCTAAAATAGATTGTCCGTGCCAGGCTGTATATACATGATTGTAATTTCTTTTTTCTTTTAGAATTTACATATCAGACTCAAGATGCTGCTACAGGAACTGCTTCTATAATTGTCAATAATGAAGGTACGTGTTTCGCATATTAGAGTGTCATTTCAGGAAGCAGTTCGTGTCCAGAACTAGAACAGAAGCATCAGTTTTTACTCTAATCCTATGGATTTCTTACTATGCCCACCAGTCTAAGGCCTAAAGTGTGGTCTTTCTAGTTTAAAAAATGAGTGTTTCCCTTTATTTATACTTCCCAGGTTGATCATTTAAATATAAAATTGTCCATCCAATACATATGAAGTGTTACAGTTGCCTCAAAATAATATTTATATCCTATAATGTCCCATTACCCTTCACGTGAACTCAGAATTGGTATTTGTCTCTAAAAGCAGTTAAGTATTCATCCATCATTTCAGTTATACTAGGTAAATAAATGTAAATAGATAGGTGCACAAGGAAGTTGATGAATCATATTTATAGAATATTTACTGAGCAAATGGCAGCAACTAATTACTTCCAACTTATCATTAGCATTCAATTTTGTCTGCTCTTTAAACGGCAATCAAATCTTAAAAGTCTATATATACAACCATGTCTGTCTGTCACAGGGCCTTGCGACAGTTGAAACATTTGTCTTTAAAAACAGTAACTTCCCTTTACCCTCAAGTAAAGTTTTCATAATTTCTTCCCACTATTGTAAGTATAAAAAAACCTGCATAAGATTCTTGAATTCAGAATGACCCAGCATTCCAAGGGGCACCTAGGACAGAACCTAGTGCACTGAGGGCAGTGTGCACTGTGTGAAATTAGGATTTGTCAAAGTAACATCCTTTTTTTGTTTAAAGTTTATTTACTTTGAGAGAAAGAAAGGTTGGGAGCGGGGATGGGTAGAGAGAGGGAGAGAGAGAATCCCAAGCAGGCTCCCTGCTGCTAGCCCAGAGCGCATTGTGGGGCTCAATCTCATGAACTGTGAGACCATGACCTGAGCCGAGATCAAGAGCCACTCAACCGACTGAGCCACCCAGGCCCATGCCCGGCCCCTGTCATAATTAGGTCTTTGATGTAGGATAGTTTCACACAATCATTTCTCACAGAAGATACAGAATATTCAGCTCTACTCCAGTGATCCCCAAGTTGCAATAACAATGAAAAAATGTATCCCACTTAAAGAAGATAATGTATCCCACTTAAAGAAGATAAAATTTGTCATTCTAACAATAGCCTGTGTTCATTACTTTAAGCTACGTCTTAAGTAATTATTGCCGCCTGTCTTAAACCTCTGTCTTAAACCTCTCTTTTGTGTTCTAGGGATATCTTTGAGTTCCATTTCTAGCCTATCCATGGAACAAGTTCCTGCCTTTCCCATACAAAGATACAGTTTTATATGACGTATTGAGTGCCTGTTATGATAGAACTTGTCAGATTTGTGTATAGGATACGGTTATACCCTTGAGGATACAGATTGCCTTAGAGGAGCTAACACAAATACCCAGAGAGGGGACAGTCGGCTCCCATAAGTGAAGGAATGAATAGCAAGGTGAAGTCAGGAGTGCAGTCTTGACAAGTTGAGTTTGAGGCCGGAACGATCCAGCCAAATGGCAGTGTCTGTCAGACAGCTGTAGCCTAAGTCCTGCTGCTCATCAGCCAAGGCCAGGCCAGAAACATAGATTTGGGAGTCAGCAACCCAGAAGCAGCAGTTGGTGCTAGCAGAGAGAATGAGGTCACCGAAGGAGAAAAGGAAGGAGATATGTTGTCTCTCAGTGTGTGTGGGTACTTTGAATTTTTCCAGTCCCAAGACTGGGTTTATGCTGAACCATCCCCACTTTTTTAAGTCCTCCTTGTGGCCAACAGACACATCTGTGGTAAGATGATAGGCTAGCATGTGTTCTGTGTTAAGAGGTAATTTTAGGTCATGTCTATACAGGATCAGCACGAGCAGCCTGGAGTGCAAAGAAATGGCTGCTACAACTCATCTCTCTAGGTCCGTGCCGTCCAAAAGAAATATAATGCAAGCCACATACATAATTTTAAGTTTTCCATGAGGCACATTTTAAGAAATAAAAAGAGGGGTGCCTGGGTGGCTCAGTCGGTTAAGCATCCAACTCTCGGTTTTGGCTCAGGTCATGGTCTCAGGGTTTCATGAGTTCAAGCCCTGCATCAGGCTCCGTGCTGACAGCACAGAGCCTGCCTGGGATTCTCTCTCGTGCTCTCTCTCTGCCCCTCCCCCACTCACGCTGTCTCTGTCTCTCTCAAAAAGTAAATAAATAAGCTTTAAAAAAAAAATTAAAAGTAGGGGGCACCTGGGTGGCTCAGTCAGTTAAGTGTCCGACTTCGGCTCGGGTCATGATCTCAGGGTTCGTGGGTTCAAGCCCTGTTTTGGGCTCTGCGCTGACAGCTCAGAGCCTGGAGCCTGCTTTGGATTCTGTGTCTCTTTCTCTCTGCCCCTCCCCCACTCACACTCTGTCTCTCTCCCTCTCAAAAATAAACATTAGAAAAAAATTTTTTTACAAAATAAAAAGTAAAGAGGAACAGGTAAGATTAATCTTAATATACTCACTTAACCCAATATCTCTCAAATATTATCTTTTCAACATGGAATCAAAATGTTCTTAAAAAGTAATAAGAGATTTGACCTTCTCGTCTTTGTACTCAGTCTTTAAAATCTGCTATTCATTGTACAATTGAAGCACGTGTCAATTTAGACAAGACACATTTCAAGTGCTCAACAGCCACCTGTGGCTTACACTCATGGAAAGCACAGCTCTGGAGAGTTCACTAACATAAATGCACCCCCAGTCCTTCCCCATTTAGGTGGGATTATAGACTGTGGGTCCAAGTGATGAGTATTCAAGATCCTTTACCCCTGCTTCTGTTTGATCTGGTGCTGGATAGGCCAAATATCCTCTCTCTGCCTTAGCTGGTACAGCTTTCCATCTGTTAGCTATTATAAACTATGTTTTGACCTTCAGAATCACTTCTCGGAGATACCCTAGGTTATGTACATGAACTGACTGCATACTATTGAGCCTTAGTTTTTAGTGTCAGGCAAGTTTATTCCTATTTATACACATCATTACCACATCTGTCATCTAGGATTCAGAATCTTTACCACATACATCGTACCAGCCATTTTTAAGTATGTTATATATCACTTCCCAGCTAGTATTCTTTGTATATGAGAATATTAATGGGGAAATATTTTTTAGATTTTTCAAAATTATCAGAATAATATTGATCTCACAGAGCAGGAATAGTGTAAAAAAAGATACAGTAGGAATACAGAACTTCACCTAAATTGCCTAGAAATGTTAAAATTAATACTTACAACATGTTTAACATAGTGACTTTGTAAGGGATTGTAACATTGCAGAATATCATTGCTTGGCTTTGCTTGGATTTTAATATAAATATGCAGGAATTCTTTATAGGCCAGAATATCATCATAATAGTGGCCGGAGCAAATTTACTTTTGAATACTGAAGACCTGAGGGAAGCAGCCAAGGCCATCAGCAGAGCCAAAGTAATGATCTGCCAGCTAGAAGTAACTCCGGAAACTTCTTTGGAAGCCCTGACCATGGCCCACAGCAATGGAGGTGATTTTACATATTTATTCTTCTTCCTAGAAAAGCGTTTATCCGTGTTTTAATGAAAGGTAACCTTTCAAGTTAAGTAATGCAGTACTTTTCCTGTAGTAAAATATCCTCTCTCCAGCCTGTAAGATTCACGGTCTTCTTATAGTTCTTCATAAGGTTAGAAAAGCTTATAAATTGGGTACAAAGTAACCTGAGTAGCATTTCTGATATCCAGCGATATAAATCTTCAATCTAGTTAGCAGAAATAATACAAGTAGCGACTAGTACCTCAGAAGCAGCCCATGGTCCCACAGTGGAATGATCGCTTTTCCGAGAAGCGAGGTCAAGCTGCGTGTCCTGTATGATGACTGCCCAGCTAGGTATATTTTGATAAACGTCTCTAGGAGCTGAAGATTAGTTCTTTCTCATTTTCGTAAAACTCCATCCCTGTTCTATAAACAACAGAAGATTATTTGTATGTAATATTCTCTATGTTGTCAAGGTCTTTTAAGTCTTTGGTTTCATTTGACCTTAGCTTTTGGAAATTTTCAAACATACAAAGGTAGGGAGAACTGCATAATGAAACCCTTCACTTGGCTTCAGCAGTTATCAACACATGGCTAACGTTGATTCATCTGCCCTCGTGCTCACTCCCCCCACTCCACCCCCAGCCAAGAACAAACTCTTTAAAAATCCAAATGGTTTCTTTCTGTTTGCTTCTGTTTCACCGTTGACTTGTAGGCAAAGCATCTTCTTATTTAGACTCCATGTCTGTTCCTTGTTAACTTTGTGGTCTTTCCAGAACCATCTGATGTTTCTGAGCCTTGTCTGTCAAACACATCTAGAAATACCCCCCGACAGAATTGTTCTAATAATGAAACAAAATAAAATAAAACATGATGCCAAGCCTGGTGTCATGAATCTCAGTAAATTCCAAATGTCTTCCCCTTTTCACTTTTCTCTTTAAAGTAAAATCAGGATTGGGGTGCTGAGCCTGGGTGGCTCAGTTGGTTAAGTGTCCGACTTTGGCTCGGGTTATGATCTTGCAGTTCATGAGTTCGAGCCCCACTGTGCTGACAGCTCAGAGCCTGGGGCCTGCTTCAGGTTCTGTCTCCCTCTCTGCCCCTCCCCCCCTCTCGTGCTCACTTGCTCGCTCTCTCTTTCTCTCTCTCAAAAATGAATAAATACTTTAAAAACTAAATAAATAAAGTAAAATCAGGGTCATATCCAGGGCATCTGGGTGGCTTAGCTGATTAAGCATCCAACTTCAGGTTGTGTCATGATCTCATGATTCATGGGTTCAAGCCCCACATAGGGCTCTGTGCTGTCAGCACAGAGCCTGCTTCAGATCCTCTGTCTCCCTCTCTCTCAGCCCCTCCCCTGCTCACTCTTGCTCTCTCAAAAATAAAAATATTAAAAAAATTTTTTTTAATTGAAAGTAAATTTAGGGTCATATCCTGATCTCAGCACCATTTGGTCAAAAATATATATAGCAAAATAAAAAGTAGCCACTCCAAGACAGTAGCTTCCTTTTGATATTGTGACCATAGTTCTGTGATTTACATTGACTTTTCCACATGAAACGTTCTCATCAAGATACAAAACTAAAAAGAAAAGAAGAAAAAGAACAGTAAGTGTATGTGTGTGTGTGTTTGCATAAGTGATTTCTCCCCAAAGTCTACACCATTTTAAATAGCAGTAAATGGAAAGTAAGTTACTTGAAATGATTTTTGTGGAGAATTTTTAAATGTATGTCCTGATTTAACAAATTTTTCTCTTGGCAAAACAACATGCCGTGGCAAATTCTCACTGACATTTAATGTACTTTTAATGGACTCTGAAGCTGTCAGAGAGAATTCCAAGCCAAAACCCATTTGGTTGCATTTTCTCAGGGGTGTCACAGAAAGAGTCTCGTGCCTGTGGTAAGCGTCGCCTGCACGCCACGCATCCGAATCGGGTGATGTGAACACAACGTGCCACCTCATTCGTGCTCCTGTCTTTCCTTATATAGGTCAAGGCATATCCTCATGCACCTTCTGTTCCTACCCTCCCTTGCTTCTCAGGGATCACGGTTTCTTCTGTCCTGCTCTGGTTCCCCGTTACCTACTCAGTGTGTGGAGCAGAGAAGGGTACCACGGTGGAGGATCTAGAGTTATCTAGAAGGGCAGGCAGCCTGACCTCAGGATGTCATTTGGATGGGGTCCAAAACTGCTTCCTCCATCACCTGCCTGGCAGCTGTGCCCGCTGAGGAGCTGGAGGACCCGGGGCATCAGGGACGGGCAGGGGTAGGTGATGGCAGGCCAAAGAGCACTGGCCAAGTTGGCATTTTTACTAAGAGCCAGCCTGCCTAAGGATCAATTCCACGTGGTCTTTCCCATATAGTGATTTTGGAAGGAGTAATGCCTTACCTTTATTATGTACTGTATAGTTTATAAAGCACTTTCAAATATATCTGATCCTCAGGAAAACCTGTGACAAAGATATGGCAGGCGTTGTTCTCCCAAATTGGCGGTGAGGGGACAGACTTGGGGAGGTTAAGTACTTAGTTCAACCAAGGTCAGCGTAGAAACCCGGATTGCAGACGCCAGGACCCAAGTTCTGTGTCCTGGAGCACACTTAAATAAAGAAACTGCACATCCCGTTGATTTCAAGGAACTGAGCCTTTGTGAAGAAAAGTAAAATCCACGAACTGTAACATTGTTCATCCTGTAGCCTAAGCTCTCAGTGTTTTCACTGCTCCCGTCTCCCGGATCCTAGAGTGCTTTCTGCACTGCGTCCCTTGCACGCTCCCACAAAACACAAACACACCAGCACACGTGCACACGTACTCCTCTATCCAGAACTCAGCTGGTCCTCGATTGGTAGTTACCAGCCAGAGCAGCTTAGCTACTATACCATGAGGTGTGTGTGTGTGTGTGCGTGTGTGTGAACTTAATGTCTTCCTTCTCACATAAAAGAGCGATACAATGAAAGGAGCACTGGTTTGGGAGTCATGAAGCTTGGCTCTGAATTCAGAATCCATCCCTTAGTAAATGGAGGATCGCATGCAAGTCTGTCAGCTCTTTGCTCTGGGCCTCACTTTCTTCCTCGGTGAAGCAAGAGAACTGGGCCTAGAGCTCTCAAGGTTGTTTAATGTCAGGACGTGTGAGCGTCCTGATGGCAGAGCAGAGCGGGCAGTCTTAGAGATGCGGTGAGCACCTGGCGTCCTGTCCATCGCCCTGTGAGATCGCCTGTGTGGTCAATCAGCAGTATTCCACCTGCAAGAAAGGTGGTAAAATCCCCCTCCCCTTTCTCTGTGGGTTTATCACAGCCGCCTTATCTTTGCTTCTCACAAGTAACGAGCTCTGAATTAAACACACTGTATAACTGGATTAGGGATAGTTGTTAAAATACAGAGGAAAAAGGCCCCCTTCCATCTTTGAATAGATTATCTCAGAAATCTCTTTGTGTCTTCACCAAGAAGAGAGCATTGGTCTTAAACAGCACCTGCAGCACCAGAAATGAGCCAGTGGTGTCCTCCGGCCCCCTCCTCCGTGGGTCAGGACGCTGCGAGGCAGGCCCACAGCAGAGAGCTGGTGCTGCAGCTGCTCGGGATGAAATTAGGCATGCCGGGTCTGGTCTTTACATCCATTTCAAAGCAAATGGAACATTACAGGAACAATTATAAATAATTGAGATTGTAAGATCGCCAAGATTAAATTCTAGGTAGGACACAAAATATCTTATAATGCCACTTTAGTCCTTTTCCATTTGGCAAAGCAAACTTCTTGGCCGGCCACCTTGACTTTCACAGCCACGAGCACAGAGCCCAACTTTTGAGCGTTTCTGCTGATCAACTCACAGTAAACAACCCCTAGAGGGAGGCCGCCAAGCCAGTGTTTGGTTACCCCAACCTTCTCCCGGTTTCTTTACTTAGGGTGACTTTCTTCCTATTTCTCCAGGCTAGTTGTTTTTTTCCAAAATTTTTTCATGTTTATTTTTGAGAGAGAGAGAGACAGAGTGTGAGCGGGGGAGGGGCAGAGAGGGAGATACAGAACCCGAAGCAGGCTCCAGGCTCTGAGGTGTCAACACAGAGTCCTAGGTGGGGCTCGAACTCATGAACCCCAAGGTCATGACCTGAGCCAAAGTCAGACGCCTAGCCGACTGAGCCACCCAGGCACCCCCAAGCTTGTTATTAAGGCCTTCTTAACTGTCTGGCTCCTGCCCTCCATGGTGACACCAAAGCGCTTCCCCCTCGTTTTCCTGGCTTTGCACCTAAGCGTTCCCCCTCACCGGGCTCACCCGTTCCTCACTGGCATCACTGTGCCAGCCACTGGCATGCTGTTAAGACAACCGGGAGCTTAGCCCGTCTATGTTGGGGGCTGTCAGTCACCCCTCCAGGTCCAAGTTACTCCATGGTACATCTTGTGTCCTCTGCTTTTGTGTGGTTCCGGGATGACATTATTTTTTCCCACCTAAACTATCACAAAGGTGCGTTCTTATTTGATTAACTACATCTACTGATTCTTCACAGTTTTTTCACCCTGGTAAAATATTTATGCTAATTCATGGTAGCACGAGCCAAAGAGAGTCCTTTGCTTTATGGTATTTTCATTTTTTCCCCTAAATTTAGTTACTAGTCAGACTCTAAGCCTACATATCCAGCCTGTTACCATCCGGCCTTGGTAAGAATGCTTTCCTTCAGCAAAATACAAGCAAATAAGATTGGATTGGTTTTTATACAATATTTATGGTCAGATTAAATTGTAGAATGTCTCATTCCAGCAACTCTTTTTATTGCTTAAAACGCAATGTAATGGTTTCTTTAAAATTTGTTTTTTATGATGGAAAACTTCAAATCTATCTGGGACATACAGAGAATAGTACAGTAAACCCATATTTACTGTCGTTAAGCTTCAATAATTCTCAACACATGGCCAATCCTGTTGAATCTATACCCCAACTCACTACTCCCCCACCTCCCCCCCCCCCGCAACCTTGGAAGCAACAGCCAGACATTATATCATTTCATTTACAATGTACTTGGTTTTTGATGTAAGATATTATACATGTTTTAAGAATGATGTCTTTGCCTGGTGTATAGCAGGTAATCTGTGGTCAGATTGATGCCCATCAATCACCCTTTGGAACTAATCCCTTATTAGTTTAGTGAGTAACTTCTCAGACTTTGTTCTCTTCTGTGCAAGTGTATAAATGTAAATACGCATATAAGTATGCTTTGTTTGATTTAAAAAAGAGAGAGAGGGTCATACTATGGATTTTATTACAAAACTTCCTTTTTTTTACTCACAAATTATAGAAATCTTTCTGTGGCTAAACAGAAATCTGCTTCGTTCTTTTTAACAGCAGGAGAACATTCCATTAGAGGTTTTTTTTTTTTTCCTAACCAGTCCTCTCTGATAGAAGCTTAGGTTTCTTTTTGTCTTTTTCTCTTTTTCTGTTAAAAAAAGAGCTGTACATCACTGTACATCCTGAACCTCGCTGTACCTCATCTTTGCCTGCCTGTGTATTTCTGTAGGATAGGTTTGGAAAAGGAACTGCTGGGTCAGGGATCTTTTGAGATGAAATGGCACTTTTATAAGAATGGCTCAAAGCTGTTGTTCCATCCTGGTACTTCGCTCTAACCTGTGCTCAGATGCATGCAGATTTAGAGATCATAATATGTGAGCAATGCTTTTGCAATTTACCCTTCAAGGAAAATAGGGAGCAATATATTTGTTCTACAGCGGTAAAAAGTAAATGGGTGTGTTGGAATGCTGGGCGTTGAGGGCCTTTATGCATAACTGACATCTCTTAAGACCTTGCAGAAGCGACAAAACCAATGAGAGAGACTGTTGCCAGGCTACAAACTTCAACAGAAGGCAAAAGAGATGGGTGGATGGGCGGGGGTGTTGAGCTGTGTGTAAAGGACAATATAATAACAGTAATAATCCCTTACGTTTGTACAACACTCTACAGTTTACATAGGGCTTTTACACCCGTTTTCTAACTTAAGCTGCACAATAACCCGTGCAAAAATATGAGCAGCCAAAAATATACCATAGGATCTCTGTGGGTGGACATTCTGAATTCTAAAATAATGAAAATGTGGGAATAGCATTAGTCTGTAGACCACTGGACGAGATCCATTGACCAAACCAAACTGTTAAGACCAAGGAAGGTATGGAAGCAAACTAGCTAGCTTTATCAGGCAGAAGTAGTGGATAGTTTCCATTAGCCACGTGCTGAGAAGCATCTCCCCAAGAATGTGGAACGGATCGATGCCACAACAGCTACAGAAGAGCCACCTGAAGAACTCCTCAATGTGCACGTTCCTGTTCCTACCCCAAGAGATTCTGATGAGTGGGTTCGAGGGGGAGACCAGAAGTCATGCACTTTAATGAGCTCTCCTAGTGATGCTGATGTGCAAGGAAGTTTGTGGGTCACTGTTCTAGACGGGTCTCTGAGAAGTGCAGCTAGAGTTGTTTACTCTGTGGGTCCAATGGGGCTACTAAACACATAAGTCATTGGACCTGGGCAGAGAAAAAGAAACCAGCCAATCTAGTTGGGTACTCTGGTGGATAAGTGTTTTGATAAAGGGGAAGCTTCCTGTCATTGTGATTTCTGAAGACTTCTTTAAAAATAGTAAATAAATAAATAATGAATGAATGAATAAATAAATAAATAAATAAATAAATAAATAAATAAATAAATTTGCCACGTTCCACACCAGAGGCTGTTTTAAATACACTGTAAATTGGAATGGAGGCTTGTGTTGCTATAAACAGAGTCCTGGCCTAGAGAGATGACCAAATACTGGACTTAAAGCTGGAGGACCCCACATGGGCACCCAGCTTAACCATGTCCCAGCATATGACCTTAGACTGTGACCTCATCTCTCTGAGGTTCACGTTCCTCCTCTGAAAAATGCAGAAATTCTTCTGATGCTGTATTGGCTGTGACATTCTCATTCTCCCTGTCTCTGCTATCCCTATCCATCCTTCTCTTGTAGGTCCCTAGTCTGAGCTAGCTCTCAGTCTCGGATTGAATTTCTCCTCCTTTCTCAATCAAGCTTTCCTTTATGTTCCCAGATTCTTCACAGAAGCCAAGAACGTAAGCTTCTGTGAAAATGTATGTTTGGGGAGCCTGGCTGGCTTAGTCGGTGGAGCGTGTAACTCCTGCTCTCAGGGTTGTGGATTCGAGCCCCACCTTGGGTGTAGAGATTACTTAAAAACAAAATCTTAGAAAAAAGCTTATGTTTGCATGAGTACTTGTGATATCTGGAATACATGCATAGATGTTCAAAACCTGCATATGTACATAAACTTCCTATTTGACTATTCTTACCAGGAAATTTTTGACCTCTTCATTATTTCTTTTCTAACTTCTTTTCTTTCCTGGAAAATGGACTTAGGAACAAAAAATGTTCACCAGCCTGAATGTTCACATTCATGCATGTCCTTTCAGGCCACAGCACTTAAAATTTTCTTTAATATTCTTGCGCTTTGCCACAACTTTGTAATCATCTTGACTGTAATACCGACGCTTGCCCTTGAAGCTGAAGTGTTGCAGAGTGAAAAATAGAGCAAATAGAAATAAGAAGGGGCTGGTACTAGGCCATCATAGAGACTGAGATTTTAGACTTCTACACCCGTAACTAAGTTGATTTTTCATTTCATGGGGAAAGTGGTCACACTCGGGGATTGCCTTTACCCAATGTCTGTCAACACACCATGTTAAAAATGAGGACCACTGGGGCGCCTGGGTGGCGCAGTCGGTGAAGCGTCCGACTTCGGCCAGGTCACGATCTCGCGGTCCGTGAGTTTGAGCCCCGCGTCAGGCTCTGGGCTGATGGCTCGGAGCCTGGAGCCTGTTTCCGATTCTGTGTCTCCCTCTCTCTCTGCCCCTCCCCCGTTCATGCTCTGTCTCTCTCTGTCCCAAAAAAAATTAAAAAAGTTGAAAAAAAAATTAAAAAAAAAAAAATGAGGACCACTGAAGCCCCTTTCCGTTCCTTTACAGTGAAAACATTGTTCAATCCAGCTCCTGCCATTGCTGACCTGGATCCTCGCTTCTACGCCCTCTCAGATGTGTTCTGCTGCAATGAAACTGAGGTAAGGATGGAAGGTTTTGCTCATTCCATGAGAAACCAAAGACTTTCATACAAACGGGTAAAGCAAAGAGGCAGGACTAACCGTGTCAGTTTGATTGCATGTGAATTCTTGAGCCCCGTGAAAACACATTTTTCAGCTAACTGGGGTGTGGAGAAAAGGAAATTAGTGAATCCTAGGTGGAGAAAAAGGTTCCCTGAGTCATCTCCATAATCTGGCACTTCTCAAACCTCAGCTAATTTTAGTCCCCTCCCTACCTTCGCACTATTGGCGTTTTGTTTTCTTTTTTAATTATTCCACATTCTATGGAATAATTAGTATCAGAGTTGCCAAATTTAGTGAATAAAAATACAGGATGCCTAGTTAAATTTGAATTTCAAACAAACAGCAAATAATATACGAAATGGACTTAGGCTACAAAATTGTTTGTTATTTATCTGAAATTCAAATTCAACTGGTCTAACGACCCTAATTAATATGCAACCCCTGGAACATTTGCTACATTCTCTTGTGAAGATGCTGTGACTGCCTGAGGGAATAGACATAGGTTCTCCATGATGCCACAAGAAGGACTTCAGGGGCCACTCTGTTACGAGAGGGCTCTCTCAGTCCATCTGAGCGTCCTAATGTATAGAGAGCTGAGTAAAATATCTCTCAGTTACATTCAGATCGTCCCATTCATTCTGAACCATTTTAGGAAGAAAATTTCAATATTTTTCCCTTATATAGGTCAGACAGTTTTAGACCAGAGCTCTCTCTCTCGATGTTGGGAGGCAAAGACATACTATACGATGCAACATGCAGAGAGAACGTTAGTAGTTAAAGAACTGTAATAGTAATTTTCCATGTGGTTCAGAGGCTGAATGCATGTTTCCAGGATTTCCTGACCTGCCTTTTTGTTAATTTCATCTCTCAGAACATGAAGTAAATAAAAACTAAAACAAAAACAAAAAGACTGCCACGAAGAAACTAATTTTAACCAATCACAATAAGCTGTGCAGTATTTTTGAGCACCCATTATGGCCAGGCCTTGTGCTGGGAGGAAGGAATTGTGGGAAGTAATAACCATTTTATAGTAAGAAATTAGATTACCCTCCACGGCCAACTGGCATAGATTTCCCTGCTAGATACTTGCAGAACACTATTCTTCAAACACTCATCACAGCTCAAATGACTTACTCAGTACTTCTGTCTTCTCCATTGAATTACTAGTCTTGTGAGGCCAGGGACATCTGTCTTATTCACTGTTGTATTCCTAAAGTAGGCACAGTAAGAGATTAACAACAATAATAATAAAAGAGAGCAGTTATAACAATATACTGTCATAGAAGTTTTGTGAATGATCACATTCCCTCTCTCTCAATATCTTGCTGTACTGTACCCACCCCTCCCCTACGAGATGGTGTGAGATGATAAAATGCCTGCGTGATGGGACGAAGTGAGGTCAGCAACACAGGCACCGTGACATAGCGTTACACTGCTGTTAACCTTCCGACGATACGACAGGAGGAGGATCACCTACTGACTGCGGCTGACCATGAGTAATTAAAACCACAGAAAGTGAAACTGCAGATACAGGGAACCTGCTGTAATTATTTCTTGTCCTTCATGGTTTCTGTGCATCAGGAATTGAGACGGGGCACAGCATGGCTTGTCTCTCTCGGTGATGTCTGGGGCCTGGAAGACTCAAAGGCAGAGAGCTGGAATCCTGGGAAGCCTACTTCACTCATGTGCCTGCTAGTTGATGCTGGCTGTTGACCAGACTTACACAAGGCCTCTCCTTGTGACCCGGGCTTCCTCACAATGTAGAAGCTGGGTTCCGAGAAACACTATCCAGAGGGAGAGGGAGGGGGAGCCCAGCAGAAGAGTTGGCTTTTATGACTTAGCTCTGGAAGTCACGCAGTATTTCTTCTGGCCCATTCCATTGACTGAGGCAGGAAACTCTGCCCTCACACTCCACCTCTCAGTAGAAGATTGCCATTGCACAGTGTGAAAAGAGCATATACACTGTGACAAATATTGATACAGTTATCTTTGGAAATTACCATCTATTACGTTGTACCTGGCACATAGTTGGCACCTAGTAAATGCTTTTTAAATGGATGAACAAATGAACAAACTCTAGTCTTTAAGAAAATTGATCTCAAACACATAATGGAAAAAAGAAAAGCTTTAAAAACCTACCATTCTTAAGGATGATGTGTAAATTTTTTTAATGTTTATTTATTTTTGAGAGAGAGAGAGAGAGAGTGCAAGTGAAGGAGGGGCAGAGAGAGAGGGAGACACAGAATCTGAAGCAGGCTCCAGGCTCCGAGCTGTCGGCACAGAGTCCAATGTGGGGCTCGAACTTGCAAACCACGAGATCATGACCTGAGCCAAAGTCAGATGCTGAGCCACCCAGGCGCCCCTTTATGGATGACTTCTAATCTCGATAATAATGTAAATTCATGCTTTAAGACACTCTCTCTGCTCACACACAAACCATTGATATATAAAGATACAAAGAGACAATGAAAAGGTACTCACAAGCTCAAAAACAAGATAACTCCACAAATCAGAAAGGGAGCAGAATCCTAGAGCATTCAGCCCTACGTGTGCTATATTTCGGTCCCAGAGGCAGGTGTAAGTGGTAGGGACCTCTAATGGGTAACGAGCACTAGAAATGTGCCACTCATGGAAGACTGGGGCAATGCCCCCTGCTCAAACCCAGAGATGCTGGACTAAGGCTCCCTTGCTAACCAAAAATGTTAGAGGAAGCTGTTAAGCCTGCTGCCCAGGACTACAGCATATGTAAGGCTCCCAAACTGAGGAGATAGGAGGACAGAGGTACTGCCTCTGATCAGGAATGAATTAAGCCAATGCTAACGTGGTGACCGTGAATGTGACGAGATTGGCAATATCGCCAATGACAGCAGAACAGGAACTCCGTATTGCCGATGTAACACCTGGCTCTGGTTTAGAGACCCTTGGGGCCTGATGGATGCAACCATAAAACCACTGGAAAGGCAGGAAGAAGCCTAGCGGGAGCTGAAGTGTGGGATTCTCCAACTCTCAGAAAGCAAAGTGAGCCTTCAGATGACAAAACATAATGCTCAACATAAAATCAACAATCCAAGATGAATTTTCCCAGGGTGAAATCCAAATAGTGAAGCAGTGCAAAAAAGACATTAAAATAAGAATGACTGAGGGATGCCAGGTGGCTCAGTCAGTTGAGCATCCAACTCTTGAGTTCAGCTCAGGTCATGATCCCAGGGTTGTTGGGATTAAGCCCCACATTGGGCTCTTTGCTGAGCATGGAGTTGCTTAGGACTCTCCTTCTCTCTCTCTCCCCTCCCCCCACTCACTCTCAATAAATAGATAGATATGATTGAGATTCTCATTCATTAAAAAAAGAGAAAGAGAAACAGAATCAAAGCAACAATATGTGAATATAAAAATCAGTCAATTAGAAATTTGAAAATGACACTGAAAACTATAGGAAGCTTATGAAAGAAATTGAAGAAGACACAAAGAAATGGGAAAACATTCCATGCTCATGGATTGGAAGAGGAAATACTGTTAAAATGTCGATACTACCCAAAGCAATCTACATATTCAACGCAATCCCTATCAAAATAACACCAGCATTCTTCACAGAGCAAGAACAAACAATTCTAAAATTTGTATGGAACCAGAAAAGACTTTGAATAGCCAAAGTAATGTTGAAAAAGAAAACCAAAGCTGGAGGCATTACAGTTCGAGACTTTGAGCTAGATTACAAAGCTATAATCATCAAGACAGTATGGCAGTGGCACAAGAACAGACACTCTAATCAACGGAACAGAATAGAGAACCCAGAAGTGGACCCACAAACGTATGGCCAACAAATCTTTGACAAAGCAAGAAAGAATATCCAATGGAAAAAAGTCTCTTCAGCAAATGGTGTTGGCAAGACTGGACGGTGACATGCAGAAGAATGAACCTGGACCACTTTCTTACACCACACACAAAAAACAAACTCAAAATGGATGAAAAACACTAATTAAAATCTTTCTACAAAATACTCATTAGGAAGGTAAACAAACTGGAATCAAAGAATTAGTGAATTGAAAAAGAATCTTGATCAATTCACCCAGAAGTGAAAAGCTCAATTCACCTAGAAATATCACAGAAACTTTGTTTTTAATACAAAAGAGGAAATTGGAGAAAAGAAAGATAGGTTGAGAGGCTCTAACATACATCTAATGGAAGTGAAAGAAGAGAAAGGAGAGAACTGGAGAGAAGCCATATTGGAGAAAAAACTGCAAGTTGTTTTCTAGAACTGAAGAAAGGCACAAGTCTTCAGGTCAAAAGCGTATTAAAAGTACCACTTGAGATACAAAGATACAACTGTCTACTAACATACATTTTAGTGGAACTGCATAAAATCCAAAGTCAAAACAAAAATATTTTTAAATGGCCAGAGGAAAAAAAAAACAGATTTTATATACATGATAAGAATATCCAATACTTCATTGTTTGTAAAAGGGGAAAATGGAAAAATGAGTGTCCATGAAAAGGAGAATAAATTTTTTTTAAACTGTAACATATTTGCAGTATTTTTGCAGTATATGGAATGCTACATATATAAACACAAATGAAATAATGTTAAGGGGAAAAGCACATTAATACATAATATCTATGGAGGACATTATCTTTTTTTAATGTTTTTTTAATGTTTATTTATTATTGAGAGACAGAGCATGAGCATGGGAGGGGCAGAGAGAGGGGGAGACACAGAATCTGAAACAGGCTCCGGGCTCCGAGCTGTCAGCACAGAGCCCGACGCAGGGCTTGAACTTATGAACCGTGAGATCATGACCTGAGCCGAAGTTGGACACTTAACCAACTGAGCCACCCAGGTGCCCCGTTGTTTATTTTATTTTTGAGAGAGAGAGAAACAGAGCGTGAGAAGAGGAGGGGCAGAGCGAGAGGGAGACACAGAATCAGAAGCACGCTCCAGGCTCTGAGCTGTCAGCACAAAGCCTGACATGGGGCTCAAACCCACGAACCCTGAGATCATGACCTGAGCCAAAGTTGAATGCTTAACCAACTGAGCCACCCAGGCACTCCATCATTTACCTCCTTTAGAGAAAAATAACTGAAGCAAATAAAATAAAATGTTAAGACTTATTAAAAGTGGGTGGTAGGTGGGGTGCCTGGGTGGCTCAGTCGGTTAAGCATCCGACTCCAGCTCAGGTCATGATCTCGCAGTTCGTGAGTTCAAGCCCCATGTCAGGCTCTGGTGCTGACAGCTCAGAGCCTGGAGCCTGCTTCGGATTCTGTGTCCCCCTTTCTCTCCGACCCAGCCCTGCTTGTGCTCTATCTCTCTGTGTCTTTCAAAAATGAATAAACGTAAAAAAAAAAAATTTTTTTTAAAGTGGGTGGTAGGTACATGGGTGTTTATTGCATTATTTTTACGTTCAGGATCTTTCATCAAAGAATCGTTTTTTAACAGGTTTTTAGAAACCACAAGAATTCAGTGTTTCTGAAAATAGACCCAACTAACTCAACAGATGTAAGTGATCTCAGTAATGAAGATCAGTGAAAAACTTATAAAAAGAAAACAGAAGGTGGCCTTAAGGCATAGCCAACTCAGACAGGGTGTGGAAAAGATGGTTCAGGAAGGACACATGGTCAAGTTAACAAAACCTTTGCTGCCAGGGAAGACCAAACCCCAGAAGGAGCAGACACTGTGGGGTGACTTATAGGCAACAAAAAGGGTTAATCTGGGCATGTTCAGAGCAAGCACAGGAAGAGATAGACCCATTCTTAGGAAGAAATAGGATATAGAAAAGACAGAATTTGGTTATAAACTTTTTGAGTCATAAAGTATCATATAATTCATCTGGTCCAGTGAATTTTCAGCCACTAATTTCAGAACCATAGAGGGTCCCCAGAGAAGCTAGAGGGGTACCTAGGGGGTGAGGAAGCAGGGCTGCAGCCCTTCACCCCTACTTCAGCCAGAGCCCTTTTTATATTCTGGGAGAGAACTGTGGTCCTGTGCAAGCCCCTCATTTTATACGTGACTTGGAAAAAGTCCCAGAGTTAGTAAATGGTGGACATCTCCTGAATATATCAGCACGTTGCTTTCTCTGCTCCATGTCAGTGCCCCTCCTACCCTGCTTCTAATTTCTTGAGCAAAAACAAACAAAAGAAATGGGTGTTGTGCAAATATGGAAAGCTATAACCAGTAATAAGAGAAAGGCATTATGACCCAAGAGGAGCCTAGAAGAAATACAACCTTAGGGGTAAAATTTACAGACACGACTTATATATCAAAGTCATTGGCAGCGGCCCCTCCCTTACTCCTTTCTTCCCTCCCCTCTTCCTTTCTTTTGTAGAATTCTTTGTTCCCCCTAACTCTTTATGATGAAAATTATCATACGTACACACAGAAATGCTGGAAGGGCAACACAACGAAGAGTGACATACTCTCCACCTAAACAGTTGTTAACATTTGCTATATGCTTCCCCTCTCCACTGTGTGTATTTCTTTTTGTTTTTGTTGAGTCATTTCAAAGTAAGCTGCACATAACATGAAACCTCACCCCTAAATACTTCAGTGTGCATCTCCTAAGAGGAGCCACAACACCATTTTCACACCTAAGAAAATTATTAGTGATTCTGTGCTGTCATCTAATATCCAGGCCACATTCACATTTCCCTGTTGTCCCCAAAATGTCATTGATAGTGAGTTTTTGTCATTGTTATAGGGTTTTTAATTTATTTTCCTGAGCCAGTATCCATCAAAGTTCCCCACTGCATTGGTTGTTATGCAAAAGAAGGGGGACATTTTTCTAGAAAACCAAATCTAATCTGGAAATAGACCCAGGTTACTTTTCTCACCGCTGTTTCCTTTCACTTTTTTGTATTCCAGGCTGAGATCCTAACTGGCCTCATGGTCAGCAGCCCTGCAGACGCTGGGAAGGCTGCACAGGTGCTCTTGGAAAGGGGGTGCCAGGTCGTAATCATCACCTTAGGTGCTGAAGGCTGTGTGATGCTGTCACAGACAGAACCTGTCCCAAAGCACATCCCCACAGAGAAGGTCAAGGCTGTGGATACCACGGTAGGTTTTAAAATTTCAGAATCATTTCTGCCCCCCTTGAGAATCATCATTTATAACAAAGATACTACACCTGAATTTTTGGATCACAAGGTAAGGGCCCAAGGAGGTGATACGATAGAAGGGAAGAAAAACCAGGCAGGAGCACTATATCTTAATCCTTCCCCAACCCACTGTGGGACTTTCTACAATTCACTTAACCTCTCTGGGCCTCAGTTTCCTCATCCATAAAAACAGAATATCAGTAAAACTATACTTGTATCACCTATATTCATTCATTGATTCATCCAGTAAATATGTATTGAATACCTGTTATATGCCAATCATCTATTAAGTTCTGGGGCTATCGTGATGAACAAGACATAGTCTCTGCCCTCATGGGGCTTAGATTTTAGATAGTATGCCCAGCTGCTGGTTCTTACAAGCCTCCTGTGTGGAATGAAAGTGCAAGGATCACTGGCTGGCAAAACTCATTCTTTTGGCCATCAGATAATGCCCACTATCATCTACTATGCGCTTACTGTGTCTCTTTGGCATACATCTCATGTGATCTTTACAACAATGACATGAGCTATATTATCTTCATTTTACAGATTTAGATACTTGCTTAGGACCATAATGCTAGGAAGTAACAGAGCTGGGGGGTTCAAAACTTGGCCTGTGAACTCCAGACACTTCTTGTGTAAGGCATGCATTAAGGACAAGCAGGTTACATAGACGAGTCACAGCCCAGAAGGGGGTGGAAGGGAAGACAAGCTAGAAAAAAAAGCTCAGAGGTCCTCTAAATCTGGGAAAATAAGAATTATTGTTTATGACCTAGAATTGAGAAGAGCGAACAAAATCGATAAATACCAGGAACCTAAAACTAGAGTTGGGGAAGAGTAAACATTTTAGAGTTTTTATTTATAAGAAATTAATGTGTAATTATTTATAAAATATATTTTGGTTTTTATGCTTAGAAAAGGCTTTAAAATGTGGGTCATTAAATAAATAAAATAAAATAAAATAAAATAAAATAAAATGTGGGTCATTTATCAAAAAGGAGCCTAAGCAAATGTAATGAAGTCATGGATGCAAATACGCTCTGAAAGATAGATAAGTACAAGGACTGCTTTTTATCACATGAAATCACACCCTGATTGCCTTTCACAATGTGCTGATCAGATATTTGATCAGTTGCACTCGGTGGTGTCATTCTCTTCATAGTCAGTCATTTTGGACACCACGAGTTTTTTTCCTGTTCTGTCACGGACAGTCGCCTGAACTTGAGAGGTTCCTTCTTAGTTCTGAAATTGACCCTGCATGAGACTAAAACGAGTCCAGGTCCTGAACTACAGCAGAAAAGTTTACTCTTCCGTTGCTAAAAATGAAGGACCCTCATGAAGATACTGGGCCTACGTATCTACCCCGAAAGAGACTCAGCCTCTGCTTCGGGTGTCTGTGTCAGCCACAGCTCCTTTGCCCACAAGCACCAAAGCACAACTGGAATGGGCCTACACAGGAACAGGGATGTATTCGGTGCACCTGGCTGAGAGTCCGAAGGTACGGCCGAGGGCAGAAGTGAAGCCATGTCATGGGGGCCCACTCACCCCCTCCCTGTTGGCTCTGCCTGCCTTGGGGTGCTGGGCTTTGAGCTCAGGCGGGCCCACTCCTGGGAGTGGTCCCAGGCAGCTGTCTGCCCACACAGTGCCCCATGTCGTGTCCCCATCCCTGGTGTCAAATAAAAATCAAAGAACTCTCATCAGAGGATGGGAAGTGGATGCTGGTCATACAAAAACAAGCCCCGCCTGGAATGGGGAACCTCACAGAACACGCATGTGGAAATGCCCTGCCTGGGCATGGGACAAAGTGATGAAGACACCAGCCTTGGAAATGTTCAGATTCGAATCGATAGTCATTATCCTCAGAGCCATTTCATGTTGAAGGATTGGATTTCCTAGATAGTGATGGGTTGCGTCTTGAGCATCTTAAATACAGCAGGGTGCACAAGGAGGTTTTCACACTTTGCTGATACTGTTTTGTGCCCTTTCATTTGGTTTCTTAGCATGTGCACTTAAGTTTTTGGTTTCAGGAAAGTTGAAACACAGTGAGAGCTCAGAGGAGAAAAGATTACTTAAACGCTTGGAGGCAGGAGGTAGAGCACGGGATCACGAAAATCGGGGCACTGGATTGGGATCAGTGAATTTTTCCATCAAGGGCCAGACAGTAAAGTTTTAGGTTTCACGGACCTTATGCATACACGCTCTGTCACAACTGCTCACCTCTGCCATTGTAGCATGAAAGCAGCCATAAACAACTTTGTATGCTATCCAAAATGAAGTTGGTATTAATCCAAACTAGACTGTTTTAAGTTAAGATGTTAACCGGAATCACCAGTGCAATCACTAAAAAAAGAAGAAGAAAAAAAAGGCGCCTGGGTGGCTCAGTCGGTTAAGCGAAAGACTTCGACTCAGGTCATGATCACATGGTTCATGAATTCAAGTCCCGCGTCAGGTTCTATGCTGACAGCTCAGAGCCTGGAGACTGCTTTGGATTCTGTGTCTCCCTCTCTCCTGCCCATACCCTGCTTGCTCTCTGTCTCTATCTCTCAAAAATAAATAAACATTAAAAAAAAAATTTTTTTTTAAACCTGAAAGAAACAAAAGAATTACCATGGTACACTTCAAAATATCTATTTAATGGGCACGTGGCTGGCTCATTCGTTAAGCATCTGACTTCTGCTCAGGTCATGATCACACAGTTTGTGAGTTCAAGCCCTGCATCGGGCGAACTCGAGCTCCACTTCTCTCTCTCTCCCTCTCTTAATCCCTCTCTCTCTGCCCCTTCTGGGATTCGCTCTCTCTCTCTCTCTCTCTCTCCCCACCCCCCTGTCTCTCTCTCTCAAAAACAAAAAAAAATTAACACAAAAGAGGGCAGGAATGGAGGAATAAAGAAGATTATGTTGTTGTAAACTGAGGGATAAAACTAGGCCGGAGGGAGATAAGGGATCCAGGAAGCAGACGGTGCCACAGAGGAGAGAAGCCGGAGTGGTGAAGGGAAGTCCCAGGGCAGCACCTATGCAGCAGGCCCGCAACCAGGCGGGTCCCAGTCCCCAAGAGAGCAGGAGAGCGGAGAGCCCTGGAGGAGCGACTCCCAGAAACAAAAGCAAAAACAGGAAAGGACAAAGAAGGAAATAGCAGAATACCCATGTGTTGGCATATGACCAAAGATTTTTAGTTTTCTTGCAGAATTTGAGGATGAAGTAGCAATTAATTATGTTGAAAACTGTGGAAATGAAAAAAAAAAGGGGGGGGGGGAAATATTTTTGCTCTACGTCATCTGCAGTCTCAGGGTAAAAGTATGATTAAGTAAATATTCGCACGCCACGTGGCTGTAAAGACATAGTCCTAACAGTGCAAGTGCCGATTCTTGATTTAACCAAAAATAGAGATTAGAATCCCGTTTTGAAGATGGAAGGATAAAGTAAGTGTGTGGTCTGTGTGCACCTGGGGGAAGAGAAGAGAGTTGAATGCTCCTTCTCCAGAGTTGGGAGTCAAGAGAGAATATCGGAAACTGATTTTTAAAAACAGCAGTATAAGCATATTACCAGAGGGAGAAGATGAATACCAGAAGAAACTTAAAGGGAATTTAAAGTATTTGCCTCATGGAAATGGTTCAAGAGATGGGGCGTTTACTTCTTAAGCGTTGTCTTTTTACACTATGTATATGGATGGCTTTGATTTTTTTCCTAAATGACAAAACACGATGAGATACCACTTGTCACCCGCTAGAATCAAAAACAGTAATGAGCGTACCTAGGACATGGAAAAATTAGAACCCTCAAACGATGCCAGTGGGAAGGTAAAATAGTGTAGTCGTTTTGGGAAACAGTCTGGAAGGGCTGCGAAAAGTTAATTTTCTAGTTACCATAGGACCCAGCAATTGTCCTTCTAGGTCTCCACCCAAGAGAAATGAAAACACGTGCCCACACAAAAACCTGTACACGAATGTTTCTGGCAGCATTGTTCCCGATAGCCCCAAATCGGAAACAACCTGACTTTGAACAGCAGATGACATATAATAGACTGCTGTTCAGCCATAAAATGGAATATTGATACAGGCAACAGTGTGGATGAACATCCAGAACATTATGCTAAGTGAAAGAAGACAAACCTAAAGGCCACATATTTTATGCTTCCAAGTATATGCCATGTCCAGAATAGATAAATCTATAGCAATGGAAGGTAGATGGATGGTCACTGGCAGCTGGGGAGACGGGGTCAGGAGACTAATGAATGGGTATGGGGGTTCCTCTCTGGGGTGAGGAAGACATTCTGGAATTAGATAGTGGTGATACATAGACAACCTTGTGGATACCCTGAAAACCAGTGAATTGTTCACTTTTAAAGGGTGAGTTTTGTGGTAGGTTAGAATTAGATCAATTTAGAAAACAAAGGTCAAATAATAACAAAAAGATCCACCTAGGCACTTCACCCGTGGATGGATACTCTTGTGATAAAGAATCTTCCACTTCATTGCTCTACTGAATCTACTGAATGGGCTCTCAACATCCCCCAGCGGAGCAGAGGTGACACGGGAAACAAGGGTGGTTATTTTCTGGGGGTCAAGTCTCCCTCAGCCTTTTTTATGCTCTTTGTCCTCTCATCCTGCACTCTCATTATTAAAATCCTTGCCTGTTCTGCACGTACCTGTTCGGCCTCTTCATAGGTCTAATAAAGAGGAGATAATTCATATGGCGAGGTGAGCAACTCCCAGGGAGGCATTTTCTTCTGAACAAATGGGCTTCTTCACTTTTCTGTCAGGAGGGCATTACTTGCCCTCAGGAGGTTTATGACCTCACATTTCCCCTTCTCCTAATCCCTTACGAGGCACACCTTCAAAAAAAAAAAAAAAAAAATCATGTCGTGCAACCTCAACGGATACAATGTTTGTCAACCTTAACCTCAACAAAGCTGGCCAAGATAAAATCAGTCAGTCAGGGATGGCATGGGTGGTGGAAACACCTTTAGCTGGATTGGATTGCACATTTTCCAGCCCGCCCTGGAAGGGGCCAGTCCTGCTCCGCGTCAGTACTCCCGCAGGCTGCTACATTCATTTGCCTCCGTGTTGATAGTTGCTGTATCGCTTCTATTTGTACATCCATTTTTCCTGCTGTACGACCGTGAGATGGTGGCAGTAGTGCAGATGTCCTCGGCTCAGTTGGGAAGACATGACAGACGTGTCGCTCTTCCCATCTCTGTGTTACCTGAATCTCAGCCTCAAAATGCCACGGCACTCGTGTCCTCGGTGCAGTCCTCCAACCTGAAGGTCAGGGGGCTTTGCCGTCTTGTGTCGATTGCACTACATAATCACCCCGTAGTCGAGAGTCACACACATTTAAGCACTGTCATCTTCTAGGTTATTGTGCTACTGTGATATATCATTAATTATCCTTGGCCTACAGGCTGTATAAAATTCTTGACACAGAAATTGTTTTTCTACACGTAAATGGTTGAGTCCTAGAATCTGCATTGGTACCCTTAAGAATTTAGCCCATAGGCTAAATCCATCTTTCCAAACCTTCACCTTCTAATAAGTCATTATAATTCAGGGTATATAAGTAAGCTAAGAGTAATCAAAAGCCAGGAGCATGGGGATTCTCTTACCTCTTCCTTATTCCCCTTTCTTTCTATCCATTATATTTGAGTCCTGTAGTGCTCAAAGTTGCAGGTGTGGCACTAGGCAGTGTCAGCCCAGCTGCATGGATGCCCCCAACAGATGACTCAGGGCTTGGAGACTCAGCTCTGAACTAGAAATTGCACCAGTAGGAAGTGGTGATAGTTTCTTTTCAAGTTTGCATGGAAGCACTCCTAAAGGTACCGTGATTGCTGCGGCTGGTGGGTTACCCACAGCTTTCCGAGGTCACTTCTCCTCAGTGTATTCCCCTCATCCTGGGGTCTGGCCTTCGGCCATCCAGGCTGTTCTTAAGGGCTGGCTCCCATTAACTTACCTCTGAGGCACCATCCAGAATGACAGTTCAGCCTTTGAAAACCCAGATTTGAACCCATTTTTCCCATCGTGGTATGACTTCCCCACCCCCATCCTACACCTGCACCCTCTTCCCACTCTCACCCCCTAGCCAGTGGAAGGCCAAGCCAACATTGCCAGATGTCATTAGAACAAATGGATTTAGGTGCTCTTAAGAGATGTTTCTCAGCCCAGGCAAACTGAGGTATTCCCTGCTCCAAAGATAGTTTGAGCTCCCCTCACTGTTGATTGCCAGTACTTGAAGAAGGGTTGGGAGAATAAAACACTGTGGGTAAAGAATGATAGAATCGGGGGTGCTGAACAGGTAATTATTACATAATAAGGCTAACTTCAACTGCCATATCAAGTTATTATGCAAGAAGTAATTGTTGTTTCCTTCACATTTTGACCTTAGGAAAATTAATATCTACTGATACTGCCGCTACTCAAAGTGTCTTGGAAAATTTTTTTGGAACTGCTTTGAGAGCACCTTTACCCTACTTTCCAGTCTACTTGGGTTTTTTCTTTCTATTCATAAAATTAATACATACTTAGCGTTCAAGAGTAGAAAAAAAGCAGAAAACGTAGAAAAGTATAAAAAAGAAAGTCAAATACCCATGAGTCTACCACTCAAATGTAACTACTGTTATCCTTTTAAAGATTTTATTTTTAAGTAATTTTTAAATAAGACTTTTTTTTGAGCCCACATGGGGCTCAAACCTATAACCCCAAGATCAAGACTCACACGCTCTACTGGCCAAGCCAGCAAGGCACCCAGTCTACTATTATCCTTTTAATATAAATCCTTCCATTTTTTTTTTTCCATACCAATTCATGCACTCTTGAATATCTTTTAACAGAAAATTTGAGTATTTGCCCCTGCAGAGATTAATATGTGTAATTATGGGAAGCCTCTACAACTCAAAAATATCAACCATTTCTCTAGAATAATGTAAATGGACAATTCACTGAAGAAGAAATGCAAAAAAATAAATGTGTGGGCACCTGGGTGGCTCAGTCTATTAAGCATCTGATTCTTGATTTCAGCTCAGGTCATAATCTCACAGTTGTGAGATTGAACCTCACCTCGGGCTCTGCTCTGGGCATGAAGCCTGCTTAAGATTCTCGCCCCACCCCCACCCCCACTTCTGCCCCTCCCTGCTTGCTTGAGTGCACTCTCTCTCAAAAAAAAAAAAAAAAGAAAAAGGAAAGAAAGACAAAAAAAGAAAGAAATGTGATAATGTTCAACCTCACAAGAAATCAAGAATATTTAAATGAAAATAACAGTGAGATCCCCCTTTACTGCCCATCAGTTTGGCAAAAAGTAAAGACTGATAATGTCAAAGTCCCAATAAATTGGAAAACACATGCTTTCATATAATTCTGGTAGGAGTGTAAATTTGTACAATGTTTTCAGAGGGAAATTTGACTAACAGTTTTTAAATTTGGCCCAGTAACTCTTCTAAGAATCTATCTTGTAGAACTGCTCATATATACAAATATTTGTATAAGAATATTCCAACTTTGTAATAATCAAAAGTGGATCAGACATATCTATATAATCATCAGTAGGAGAAAGTCAAATTATAATGATATGGTGCCATTTATTTAAAAATAACTGTAGCTATCCATAAATAAAAGCATAGCATATTTTAAAAATCTAGGAAAAAAATAACCCACCAAACTATTGCTCATGGGGAGGGCCAGGGGATGGGAGGCAGGTGTTGTAAAGGAGGACTTCTACATTCTACTCCATGTTCTTCTGAATTGTTTGAGTTTTTCCATGACCCTTTATTTTTCATGCATTACTTTGAAATTTGGAAGAAAATACAATTTGGAGACACATCAAAAAGCTATTTGGGGGGCGCCTGGGTGGCACAGTCGGTTAAGCGTCCGACTTCAGCCAGGTCACGATCTCGCGGTCCGTGAGTTCGAGCCCCGCGTCGGGCTCTGGGCTGATGGCTCAGAGCCTGGAGCCTGTTTCCGATTCTGTGTCTCCCTCTCTCTCTGTCCCTTCCTCGTTCATGCTCTGTCTCTCTCTGTCCCAAAAATAAATAAACGTTGAAAAAAAAAATTTAAAAAGCTATTTGGAGCCACATCTAGCAAATAAGAGAGGTGATATCATTTCTCAAAGGGTGTACTGGGGTAGGGGGGCTGGGTGGCTCAATCAGTTGAGTGTCTGACTTCTCAGGCCATGATCTCTTGGTTCATACATTTGAGCCCCATGTCGGGCTCTGCGCTGGCAGCTCAGAGCCTGCTTTGGATTCGGTGCCTCCCTCCCTCTCCACCCTTCCCCCACTCACACTCCATCTCTCTCTCTCTCTCTCTCTCTCTCTCTCTCTCTCTCTCTCTCAACTAAATAAACATTTTTAAAAGTCATTGTTTTTTTTTTTTTTAAGAGGCCTGAACCTTTAAAAAAAAAAAAAAAAAACTTGCCACTACCTTCCCAAAGGAGCCAGTAATTGGCCAAGTTCACTCTTGGCCTCCTAAAGAACCTCTCAACCATCCCAAGATCTCTGTGTAAGTAGGCTGAGTAACACTTTGACTTAAAATAACTTCTGAATGGATAGACACTTGATGCCAAGGAAATGATCTGCATTGCCTTCTCATCCAGGCCCTGGAGCCTCTTTAAGTCTAGATATTTCACTACACATTTTTGACAGGCTTTTTTCCCCTTAATCTTTCTAAAGAAACAATCTCTCTCAAAAATATGTTAGTTTATACAGTTTCCTTTGGAAATCACAGAATAAATGTCAAAGCTGCATTTTTCTGTTCCTCACTCAAATGCATAGCCTATCTTCAGAGAAGCTTTACTCAGCATCAGGTTTTCTTTCTGAATGTGTCTGCTTACATGTCTTAAACTCTTCAAGCCTTATTCCTACAATTAACAATAGGTTGAATGATCTAGACTTTGGCCTTGCCACAGCTCTTGGTCTCTATTAATCGATGACCTGAAGCAGTTGTAAAAGGGGCCAGGCCATAGGTGATACCTCATGTTTAGGTACTTAATAGTTCACATACTTCACCATTCCTGTACCTCCGGTTTGAAACACACCTGAGTGGAATGGCTCCTGGGGGGAGGAGGAACATAGGTAACACAGTCCTTTGGACTGAAGCATGTCCCCTCTAAAATTCATATGCTGAAGTAAGGAGGTAATTAAGGGTGAACGAGGTCATAAGGATGGAGCCTAGATCCCATAGGATTAATGTTCTTTTAGGAAAAGACACCAGAGAGCTCGCTGTCTATCTGTGTCTGCTCAGAGGTTAGAGCACACAGCAAGATGGTGGCATCCTGGGGAAAAACTGAGAGCTTTCCCCCTAAGGTCAGGTACAAGACAGGGATGTCCACTCTCGCCACTGTTATTCAACATAGTATCAGAAGTCTTAGCCTCAGCCATCAGACAACGCAAAGAAATAAAAGGCATCCAGATCAGCCAGGAGGAAGTCAAACTTTCACTCTTCACAGATGACATGATACTCTATATGGAAAACCCAAAAGATTCCACCAAAAAACTGCTAGCACTGATTCATGAATTCGGCAAAGTTGTAGGATATACAATCAATGCACAGAAATCGGTTGCATTCCTATACACCAACAATGAAGCAATAGAAAGAGAAATCAAGGAATCGGTCCCATTTACAATTATACCAAAACCCATAAAATACCTAGGAGTAAATCTAACCAAAGAGGTCAAAAATCTATACACTGAAAACTATAGAAAGTTTATGAAAGAAATTGAAGAAGACACAAAAAATGGAAAAAGATTCCATGCTCCTGGATAGGAAGAACAAATATTGTTAAAATGTCGATACCACCCAAAGCAATCTACATATCCAGTGCGATCCCTATCAAAATAACACCAGCATT